ACCACTAAGGGGATTTGGGTTTGCCGGGTTTGGAAAAGTGCGGAGTAAAAAGATGCATTCCTTGAAGAACAATGTCGGTGAAGATAGAAACTGATTTAGAAAAATCAGAAGAGAAGCAACAATCGTTCCAAGGATAAGCAGCTAGGAAATCACGGAAACCGTCCCAGTTGGCTGCGTTGTAGCGCCAGAATGTGTGTCTCGAGGTGGGTGGGCTCTGGGTTTGAAGACCTAATAGAGCATGAAGCAATACAGTGGTCTGATGAGCCAGGAGGAGGGAGGGTACAAATATCTGAGAAGAAAGAAGTGACCGAAGTGAGAATTAGATCGAGGGTGTGGGCACGATCGCCAGCACGATCAGGGACACGTGTGGGGAGGTCTACTAGTTGGCTCAGGTTGTTGACCAAAGCAAAGTGTTCAGCTTCGCGCCCCAAAGGAGAAGTGGCAGATGAATGTGTCAACCAGTCCTGATTGTGAACGTTGATTGATTCAGAGCTCATATTGTTTCATATAGCTTTGCACACAATTTGTTGACCGTCGACCGTGCAACTGAACGATAAGGATTTCTACTTCCGGCAAGTACTCGTAGGTAGTATGTATTGCTGACAATCCCCGAAGGATGAACCAGCTGTCCAATGCTCTTTGTTAGTCAGTGCACAAATACCTTGTTTGTTGATATCACCGCAGCCGAGTAAAACATACGGTTAAATTTAATTTGGCCCATAACTACTTGAGATACCTTCGGCCTCGCTGGCGTAACATGCCATAGTCTGCCAAGGACTGAGTGCAAACTGCAGCTGTCCGAAAAACTTAGGATGTTTTTAAACAGACCACTGCTGTCCATTTCACATTCTACTAGTGTGGTGGGTCAGCCAGACAATGTCTAGGTTTGACGAAGAGTATAAGATAATATTGATCATACGAGTACTTGAAATTCGTGGAGTTCAGCGCTGAGGTATGTGTTAGACGTACCACCAGGTAAACTTACTGGGTGTGCGATACTTACTGAAGTCGGTGGATTCAAAGAAACGCGCGAGAGTGGTCAAACCTGGAGGGTATGCCGACGCTGGTCAGGGAACTCGGTCACCTACGTCGCATCAGAATTCTTTTTTTGGGGACCGCGTGATCAACCTTATCAATGATAAGGTGTACTGAGTTATATGGTTGATTTTTTTAAATAGTGGCACTTGTACATGCAACATTTTCTACGCAGGTATGGATTACTTTCATTCTTACTGTTACATTTGTTAACATTCAAATTTTCTTCACCTTGCTTATCTTTGGTGAATTCTTTAGGTGATCAGATGTTGATGGATAAAACCGGTACAGGAAAGTTTAATGTTAATTGTTGTACAAGTCGCGTAGGTTATAAAATACCTGGTAGCCCGTTATTTCTAATAGCTATAAGGCATTGATAGACACATGAGCCAACCGCGAGCGGTTTCGCTATTAACATTGCTCGTTAAATCCGACTACTTAAAGAGTATCGTCTTCATATTTGAATGGTTGTATTTGTGACGGTCCCTAGTTATCCTGACACAATCTGTACTGATCTTTGCGGGCCATTTTTCCTGTATGGATTAAATCCGTATTAGCAATCGTTGTAGTCCGTTTCCTTGGGTTGCTCTATCCAGCGACTTCAGCTTCATTTTACTATCAAGCTATTTGGTGTCGTGAATGGTGAAAAATCCATTAGTTTGTACGCCTTTATCTAATTTGGTTGGACTTTCCATGATTTTTCCTTTATGTAGACACCCTGTCCGAGAAAATGGCCCACCTGGTCTCAGCACTCCCGGGATTGAACCACGCCAATGGCGTTCTACCCAAAGGGTCCTCTGCTGGTCTGGCGTGCCGATCTCTTTCTTCGGCGTACTCATTGCGTCACACTGGGACGCGCCTAAATCGTGTCAAGGCCAAGTTGCGTGCGGCCACTGAGGCTGCGCTGCAT